CTTAAGAATATAAAATAAAAAATTTTTCTGAATCAAAAGATATTATTAACTAAATTAACACATTCTGGAAATTAAAAGTTTTACTCTGGATCTCAAGAAAAGTTTACTCTTAGACTACAATTTTTACATGAAGTTCCTTCGGATCGAGGCATGATCCATCACCGTTGTCGTATATGAAATGTCTTATTCGCTGTTATTGTATACATAGGATGGTCACAAAAAAACTTCCTCGACATATGAACACCTATAGGTGTATCCGTTCAGCCAATCAGAAAGAAATTTCTGATATTGTTATTTGAAGGTATGCGTTCAAGATTGTGATGATTTAAGACAAAGCTCTCACTGTTTCGGTTAGGAGGAAACATTTTCGACATTTCCGAATGGAAACATTTACTTTTTCCCTGCTAAAATTAACAGCGCATTGAAAAAACCATAAATGGCGTTGGGACGATATGCGTATGACGAAACGTGCCGGCGTAAATCATTTGAAAAGAAAAACATTTTAAAAGACCAATGACAAATAAGAGAAGAAAGAGAAAAAATTTAAATTTTCAAGTTTTCAACGTGTCCACTTTCGCAGACGATAACATGATATTGTTGAGAACATTTACGATGAACGTAACATCGCAGGAGGAATCTGTATAACTTGTAGTCTGCCATGCGGCAAATAACGTTTTATGTCATCTTTCAGTTCTGAAAAATTTAACAAATTTTATGCGTATAGCTTAGATTCCAAGTAAACACAGAATCAAAAATCCATCACAGCGAAGTCGAGAGATGGCGGTGGCCGCGAAACTTCAAAGTTGCGGAAGATGATTCTATCTTGAAACGTTATACAGACTGAAAACTTGTAATTCCAATAAAAGTTCTTTCCGTCTGATATCTTAGGTTGTCATTGATCCCTTAAAATGCTCTCCTTTGCAAATGTTTTATGTGGCAATTTTCGTCATACGTGTATCGTTCCAACGCTATTAATGGCTTTTCAATTATCGCAGGAAAACATTGAATGTAGCCATTTGAAAACTTTGAAGTGCTTTCACTGTAAACTTAATCGTGAGAGTTTTATTATTTTAAAGCATCACAGTCTCGAGCGCATAACTTCAAATAACAATATCTGAAATTTCATTTCGACTGGTTGAGCGGATCGGCTGCTAGAGTTTCATTTATCGGAGAAGTTATTTTATCACCGGCATGTATCCTACAGTCAAAGCTATATAGAATGCCTAAGCAATATATAGAATACCGAAAATTGTATATCAAAGTATGAAACGATAGATGTTTCACACATTTCCCAGGCATTCTGTGCAGTGTCGAAAGAAAAATATGAAAACTGTAAAAGGCTGTTTTCAATGTCAGGTGCATTTAACGATGTTCTAATGTCACGTGGCACAGCACATGACTTTCAGCCCTCGCTTCAAATAAAAAATTCTAAGTTCCCATTTTCAGTCTTTGACCGGAAGTAGCTAGACGCGGCTCCTTGAGTTTTTCAGCAAAGAAAATATACAGCAAATATACAGAATACCTGACCTTTTGAAATTGGAAATTTCAAGCTTAGGTATTCTTTAGAATGCCGGTTTTTTTTCTTGTATTGCTGGTAACATAATATAAAATTTAAAGATCACTTTTATACATTATAGCAAAATTACAATAATGCTAATTCATTTTTATCCTGACTGCGATTAACGAAATGATACTTTTTACCTAAATTTGATTATATCCTGGACTGAGTATTTACAAATAAAAAAATATAATGGAGAAAAATCAAGCAGCTCTTTGAAGAAGAGGTCTTCCATATCAGTCTCTCTAGAAGTTCACATAATCTTTGATCATTAATAGCTTCTTTGAAATATCAAAATCAATCAAATATTAAATTTCAGTTATCTTGGAATATTATGTTAATAAAATTTTAAAAACCTTAAAGCAATTATTTATCACACATGATTTCGTATTAATCATTATTTAAGAAGCATTTGCAATTATTGCTTAAAAGAAGTATATATTTATGATACAGTTTTGTAGAAAGGAAATATAGAATCCTTACAGAAATTCTAAATACATAATTTCTGGAATTTATAAGAAAGACTTTTAAATGGATGATCAAATTAAACCCTCCTATTTATAGGAATATCGTTTTGATTTATGAATGTTTGAAATATTTTTAAAACGCACGTGAAGATTTATAAGCTTTCTTATACATGCAAAAATAAATAAATAAATAAATAAAAATAAAAATCTTCCTTTTGCAAGAATTTTAAGTAGAAAAGATAAAAATGTGATTATTTCCCAGTATGCTAACTATAACAGGTTTAATTACATTAATTACCTGTGTTATATGGAAAAAATATCTGAAAATTTTTACAGCACCTACAATTTATCCTGGTCACGGCACCATTGTTATATAGTAAAAAATTTGTGTTTTTATAACTATTTTAAACTTTAAACTGAAACTAATTCATATATCATTTCGACATTCTTATAAACATTCGTATAGTAAAACTCTCAATCAATCACTCAATCAATCACTCAATCAATCAATCGTATAGCGGTAGTACAATTTAACGTTTAAGGTTTGCGTTGTGAGTAACCTATGTAAAAGGAAATATCAATAACTCCAAATTCAATTAAATTCCATGTTTCTTAAAAGCCTCCCGGCTCAAACAAATGGAGGGACATGACAGACCACAGAAACTACTCTAAATTAAACAAATGAAACATAAAATACATATCAAACACATTTATTAATTTCTATAATATTCAAACATATGATAACTAGGTAAACTGATTAGTCCCCTACAAATTAACCTTAAGAGGTAAATTAACATATGTATCATTTTAAATCTTATACTTATGTTAGGTGTACTAATTTTTTTTAACATTACATAACTCACAATTTGGGCGGTTGTACCACACGTATATGAATATAGTATCATTACTCGGTTACAATTTAAATACAAAAGACAGAAACAAAAAATTCACTCACAGGGTGAAGTTCATACATTAAACTCCTATGCCATCATCGACTGATTAATATGGAGTGCTGATAGTTCAACAGATCGTCTTACTCATTTCGTTGACCATTCGAAGAGATCGAGAATGCCATCATCGACGGATTAATACGGAGTTTTAGATAGTTCAACAGATCGTCCTACTCATTTCGTTGACCATTCGAAGAGATCGAGAATGCCATCATCGACGGATTAATACGGAGTTTTAGATAGTTCAACAGCTAGTCCAACTGCTTTTAAATCAGGAACGCTAACGCTACAACAAAATCTGTATTAAGGTAACCTCGAGAATGTCAAATTAAAGTTCTTGGGAAAATATAACTAACGAAGCAGCAACAAAGCTATATTTTGCATAAGCACTTAGTCTCAACTCGAGCAAAATTCTCATCAGCTGAAAGCCGACAGAAATTCAAGACCGCCGCCCGCTGGTACACGGCATTCGCGAGAGCAAGACCCGCAAGGGGGTCAAGCCCCCGCTACTCGTTTTCTTCTTACTCTTAGCTTGAAAGAATCAGGAAACAGAATGATCTCTAGCCTGGTGCAAGCACCCAGGAAAACTTGGTTTCTTCGCCTCTGTGAGTTCATAGGCTTTCAAAAAAAATCATAAAATTAAACCTTACCAATCCCGGAATTTTATGTTATCTAAATTGAGAAAATGACACACCCATGACGAATCAAACACCAGAAAATCTGACAATGCAATCCGAAAAACATCTGCACACATAACGTGAGAAAAAGAAATAGACCCCCCAACTAACAAGCGAAACTAGCTTTTACGAGCATTCAATTATCTAACTTAGTACATCTCCCACTGTCTTGAAGTAAGCAAAACTGGAAGCTTTACAAAGCGACAGGAAGAACGATTTCCGTTTCACACGCATTAGCTAAAAGGCGACAATACTGCCTCCATTGTTGGTAAAAGGCCATAAAGCAGATGGCTCCCGCAACCATTTCCCGCCTTAGTTACAATTCCTACTCAAGAATAAAAAGTTAAATAACACCTTAAGAGCTTAAGAATACTTTTTCCAGATTAAAATACACATGAATACAAATAAAAATATTAGAATAATAACTTGAAACACATAATTAATAATTGAAATTCGCGACATAACACCTGCAAAGCCCTTTACATTTACTTACATTTCGTTCTTCGTAAATGTAAGGAAATTGTTACAAACTGCACCGGTTTACTAAGCTTACTAGCTCATTCGTAAATAAGATAATTCAAATTAATATAATAATGTAAAAGAATTAGCGGTTTTCACAGAGAAGTATTTTATTAAAGAAAAGAACTTCAAAGTTTTAATAAGGAAAAAAGTGTCTACTGATAATGAAATATAATTTATTGTCTTTTATAAGTTCAAACATGTTGAGGAACTGTAAAGTCTATGGCTAGTTTGAGGTGTGAACATTCAACAGATCTTGCTAAAACTCCACATTTTACTCCACAACTCGCAGCCATCCTGGATTGTTGTTTTACACAGGCGAATAATTTCTTAGAACTGTCAAAATCACTGCCGAATGTTGAAGAACTAGGAAACGCAGAACGTATTTTTCTGAGTTTAACACCATTTTGAGTGTAAACAAGCATCTGAGCACTGAGGATAAACGACGAATCCAGAGCACAAGCCAGAGTATTTTTGGCAGTTATTCGAATTTTAGACCTTCACCCTTTCAATCAGTGACTGTGTTTGTACAGATATTTGCGAAATGTGATATTAACTTCGAAACTAATTGATTCCTCTTGAATAACCTGCATATTTCAAGTTTTAATTCGATTTTCTTACATGTGTTAAATGGATACAAAATAAGGTAATGAAATATGCGTGCCACTTCAAAGGCTTTCAGTCAAATGCTTTTCCTTCAATTATTTCTTATTCAATATTACAAAGCTAGTATATAATAAATAAAAGAATTTCAATTGAACAGAAAGCCCCCATATATGAAATCTGTTTGCAACTAATTTTAAGGGAAAACCCGAATCTTTATACTTACAATAGAGGTCTAAGACGATGGTCTTGATTATGGGAGAGGTAAGCTTAGTATTTTGAGCCTTGCAGTGAAAAGTTGCAAATAAGTCAGACCTGCTGAGATTGGACAACCTTATCTCGTTCACGACATTGTTGGATACCTTCTTGAAAGTATTGTCCCATAATTTGTTGTCTCTCCACCACGTGACGTTGGGAGAAGGGAACCCTATAAAATAAATAATAACAGAAAATAAGAATAACAGACTGACAGAATGTTATATATCTATGGCAATTACACGCATCATATCCATATTTGCTTTATGTGAAAAGAATAACAGATACACTCCGCACAGGGAAAACACAATTATGACTGTTCTATGTCTACCGTTCTACTGGGCGATTGACGAAATTTAACTTGCGCGTTTCAGTTCTCGAAAGCATGCGTTAGGATAGATATTAGATTTGTATATAACGTTTTTCATACTTAGGTATTTTGATACAAAATCGGATTTTTCTGAAATGATTTAGTATGATAGATTAGGTAAGCATGACACGCGTGACAACAAATTTCAATCAAACTCTAATACATTTTTTTTCGGGGGATCAAACTTGTGTGAGCTCTAGTTATCAAGATGGAATTCAGTTCCTATGCGATTAATGAGTTCTGGGAGATTTTGAAAGATGGATTCGTTGAAATTCTCCACTTGCCTATAGCACACATTCGATCTGATTTGGTTTATTGGTAGGAGCTTAGAAACAAGATCACACACATGTTTTATCTCTGACAAAAGTTATGCATATCATACTCAATTAATCTTATCGTCTCAGACTTTTATTTGTTTCGCTTTCTTCAAAATGTTTCCGTGGCATAACATTTAATTCAGGTGAGGCCGTAAATAAGCACCTTGTTCAGCGTTTCGCCGTTAAAGCTAGGTTCGTTTTTGAATAAGGAGTTACGAAGCTCATTAAAAGAAAGTAAAAGGTTATCAAGCAAAACGGGCAGTATACTATTGGGGGGACTGATTATTGTCCTTTATATAAATAAAGAATCTTTGACGAACATAGAAAAAGTACGTATATCTCATGATCTCATTTCGCAGATAAGCAGATATTATCCCTTAGCTTCCGCCACATCAGTTCAGTTTAGAAGTTTATGCAAATGTCAACCACATCTGAGTAGGGTCAAATATTGTTGTTTTGTTAGTGTAAGTCATACTGCTCCTGAATTACAGGCGATTAGGTGACTTTTAGCCGAAGTGCTTGTAGCTTAATTTAGGTTATCTCTGATTCATTACCGAAAGTGACTTTGATAGACTAGCTCGAGTAAATGCAAAGTAATATTCAATACAGTTCTGCCATCTCTTAAGCTATACTAACAGGTTCATCTGAGTTAAACTCCATCCCTATCGTCTTGTTCGCGTCAAAACATTTGCTGAGATCAGTAAGTTATCTAAATTTAATGACATGTTATCTATGTTGGAAGTTAATCTTAACAGGAAGCTACTGGAAGTTTCACCTCATCGCCTCTGCATTTTATTGAGAATGCTTTTCGATTGTGTTTGTGAATGGCTAAATAAATGGTTGTGTTGTGTAAGAGATTTTTCAAATTTAGAGATAGTGCAGTTCATAAGGTATTCAGCCTTGAGCTTAGAATCTTGTAATTAGTGTGCTTTCTATTAATCAGAGCAAGTAGCATCATATTATAAATATAATTCTATCTACTTAGTTTGTGTTACTTTTCTATCTCTACACCTAAAAGATAAATGAAATTTTCTTTTATTTCAGTTTTGCCTGTGGTTAGCTGTTGGGCTGAATACTCAGTTTCAATTGTATTTCACACCATAGAAGTTATACAGTTAACAAAATTTACGGTGTATACATTGATGAAAGCCAAACATTTATAATTTGCTAAAGCCAGCGTTTTGTTGCGAATTTTATTGCAAACAAAACTTAACAGCAGAGTAAATAATTCAAAAGTATATGTGATACTAAACTAAACTACTTTCCTCTCATTCTTGAAGACACAGGGTAATCCTTGCTACAGTTTTCAAAGATTGATTCTGGTGATTAAGGAGGGTCAGTAGGATTCCGAAATGTCGCTTAAGAGAATATTCTCTGCCCAATTATTAACATGTCTTATCACGTAAAAAACGTTGAAAGTGCATATGATTATGAAACTGGATTCTAACTTTGTCTGTGCTACCTATGCTGCTGTAAGAAAATGTTTGGAGTTGTAAAGTTTTAGAGAGTTTCATTAGAGTATTCACAGCAAAAAAAAATAATTTTTCTGGGTACTATGAAAAACAATAGAACGAAGTTTAACCGTAAGTGATATTGGTACAATCGAATAAATTCACTTACTTCATCCAGGATGAAAAAATGGTTACATTTTGGGAATTTGACTTAAAAAGCCAATATGCCAATTATAGAATGAGCTGCTGAAACGGTAAAAAAAAAGAATGCTTAAGTAATTAAGCATCAATCATGTTGACAACATCAGTCATTTTAGGAGCTGGTTCATATGATAAATTAAGCAAATCTGAAGAGTCTGATATTCTTGGCTATTAATCTAACATACATAAAAAAACTCTACAATAAATCAAGTGTTATTTATAAGAATAGATAGTCGATTTAAAAAATAATAATTTCTTTCTTGTCTATTGAAAAATCGGTTTCTGCTTAAAATTTTTTTATGTAAAGATGGCGACGAAATGTTGACGAAACAGCAACGATTACCACGAATTTAGTTCAAAGCAAAAGGATCATAAATAATACAGAATGTGTATCTATATATATGCATATAATTAACGACGTATTTGATTTATTAAGGTTCTCTTTTAATGAATGTCGAATGCAAGCACGGATCGGGATTTGAAATATGAAAACTACCCTATACAAATGCAGCAGGAGTTCATTTATCTTACTGGACTGTAGCATTTTCTTCTTTCGGTCTCCGAATTCGATTTCTTTTTCCATTTGTCAATGTATTTTTTGTTGGCATTATTTTTCTCTTTTAACTAAATTTAGAATCTGAAAGGGGACGACGGAAGTTGTCTGGCTTCTTATTTGCACAATAATAATAGCATAGGTTCACAGGGGAAAAAGATTGTATAAAGTTAGTGTTTTTTGAGAATAAAAGTGTTAAAAAAAGTCAAAATCATAAGTAAAAATATAAACCGTGAATGACTGCAGATTCCAGAATATTTGAATAAAAGAATGAGATCATAAGAAAATATAGCCACAAGCTCGAATTCCTCTAAGATTTGTGATATAGCAGTTTCCCTATAAGGAAAAGAATGAGGTTTCTATGTATTGAAGGTAAGAATGAGAGAAATAACTTGAAAATCAAGTATCTGGAAAAGGTTTTTGCTCAGGAAGTTATAAACTGTTAAAATTAAATAAAAATACATTGGATTTTCAGTAGGTTAATACCAGTTCGAAGAATGTAAACAAATAATCATACTTTAGCACCACAAGTGCTATTAAACTATAATCTCATTTTCTAGTCCCTATCATTTTTCAGATGTTGTCATCAAATGTTATCACCATGTATTATTCTTAAAGAAATGATACAGCGAACATTAAAAAAATTGCATGACAACACAAATATAAGGATGTTGCTAAAAATGTTATCTTTGTGTACTACTTTTAAAAGAATAATGCACCATATATAAAAAATATGTATGGTAAAAAAAGTTGCTACAAAATGTTACATTATTTATAAAGTAATAATATAGCGAATATTAAAAAATATAAGGCAACATTTGTACTTTATTGTAGATTCAAAAGATATCCGAAATAAAATACTTTTTTTATCTTTTACGCGCCAGGTTGTTGCCATTTGATGAGTGTAAGATACTTAATTTTTCTTTTAAATTTAAGTTGTCTGTTTTTGGTTAACAGACTAAAGCAAAAACGGAATTTTTTTAAATCGCTTTAATTAACCAGGTGTACCATGAAAATCGTGCTATCTGGATTCATTAAAGGCACTATATATTTTTAATTTTTAAAAATTTTATAGTACCTACATTAGACCGCGCTAGCTCCTAGTTATTCTGAAAAATGGAAACGACAATAAAAGTGATCCAACGCACATGTTAAATTCGAGAATAATAGCCCTAATTTCTGTGCTAAAAATGAGTGGTAATACTTAACACAGTATTGGGAAATCTTAAGACATGCTGTTTTTTAAAACTTTTGCGATTTTTCTGCTTGAATTTTATGTGGCAAAAGTGTGAAAAAAAGTAATATTTAACAATAAAGTTAAAAATACAAAAAAATAGTCGTGTTAAGAGGACTGAGTACAAAAGCAGACACAAAAACGAAATCTAAACGATAGTATAAAAACATTAACAAACACTCTGGTACGAAGTTACTATATGAAACCTTTCAAAATATTTTTACATTTTGTTTTCTACAGAATGTTTAATGAAAGTCTTATAAATTCAAATTAGTAATGCTCTGGACTTATTTCGTTTCTTTAATTAATGATTCAGTTATAATACACTAATAAAATTATTTACGACATTTACAGAATTAATAAAATAGGTAAACGACTGGTTTGCTTATACAGGTAAATGATTCATAAAAGAGATTTTAAAGCAATCGCATAGGTAAAACAGGGAATTTTACTGAAAAAGAAACAAATTTATAAGAGCAAACTCTTTTTTGTGTTTCTGAAAGTACACCGTGACTATATTTCATTAAGTTAATTTTATTTAATGTATTTTAATAAGAACATTTATAAGGTATTTTCTTCCTCCTTTCTGCATACCTTCCTGGTGTAACGGTAGTACACTCGGCGCGTGTTCGAGAGGTCCAGGCTTCGAGTCCCGGTAAGGGGGTTGCTCATTTCTTCAGTTTCTTGACATTGAAAAATTCTAATTTACTCTACAGTGGCGCCCGAACTGAAAGGTAGATGATGTTTCTTCACCACCAGATTTTCGCAACTGGGTCCCCTACTCCCCAGTCGCCTTTTAAAAGGGGGAAGTATAAGGTATTTTCTCCCTTCTTTCTGCATGCTTTCGAGGTATAACGGTAGCACACTCGACGCTTATTCGAGAGTTTCAGGTTCGAGTCCCAACGAGGGCATTGCTCATTTTTCATGTCTTGTGATTCAAAAAAGCCTAATGTAGCTGTGGTTTGTAACATTCAGTTATCCAATGACATTTCTATTGCTGTTAATCTTTTATTAACTTTATAGATTACGTTTTTTTACAATATACC